GCAATACAGCAAGGAAATGCTGCCAGCGTTAAAGGTACAATGCCACAGGGACCAAACTTTTTAAATTTATTTTTATTAATTTTTAATTATTTTTATTTTATTACTATGAAGGTTAGTACAATTTTAAATACTGTAACTTTGATTTTTATGATTACTATTAAAAAATATTTTAATTTTAAATCCCGAATTATTAAGATATTAAAAAATTTGAAAATTAAGTAGTAGTAATAAAGTCCTGGCTAACTAAGCCAGCCTAGCTACTTCCAGAAGCACAGAAGTCTCCTACTATGATGATATATGATACTTAGATAATATAGCATTCTAATGGTGAAATAATTTTTCAAATCGGCCCAGTACTTTTGTTGTAAAAATTCAATATACACAGATTGTAGGCCGGCAACGCACCTACTAAAAGGTGTTCATGGGCTGCGATGACGGCCCTTTTTGGGCATCCCGTATCCTCATTTGTCTTATATAAAAAAAGATTATAGAGACACGACTTCAATACGTCAATCATTAATTCTTAATAGCAAATGAATTTGGTGGTAAATATAATCTTGATGTAGAAACCTAACATCACCTAAACTAATTCCATAAGGTTGTTTCACGTCGATAATTATCCGCTAAATGTTCCACAGTTGACCTGCCATCTGATCTTTATTCATAGAGCGTCTCCCAACCTCATTTGTTCGGCGCCTTTCAGTAAGGAATTAAAGACATGTTCACATATCGTTAATAATATAATTGTTTTAACGAAAATTACTAACACAATTCTGTACCTATTTTTTACAAGTCAAATTACTGCCGTGAGCCATTCAATTAAAGTTGCCATAATCGGATACTAAAAGAGCTACCGAAGTGACAAGTGAGAGAAGTGGACAGAGAATCCATGAAGACTGCCCGCAGACGGGAATGAAATAATCATTCATCATTGTGTTCAAGTCATCGTGATTTGTGTACATGGACGAGCGATACGACAGATAATTCAGTTATTAACTAATCCAAAGCTTCGTATTTGAGTTGCAGCTCTAATCTACTATTAGAGATTTCAATTGGCCAAATAATAATAAAATATTATTCATGACAAAATTGATCTAACCCCACACTTCCTAGTGTGTGTGTCCTTCCTAGCCCCTGTGTTTTGGGTAAGATTACAGTTATTCCGTACATGGTGCATGTGTAAAACAATTTTTTAAGAAAAATTAGTCGTAGTGTTACATCTAGTAAAACAAAAGTCGTATAAGACCTTATGTATGCGTGGATATATGAGTGTGTGAAAGTGTGTGTGTGTTATACATTCTGTATTAGAGAGTGTGGCTAAGAGTTGTTAAAAGCATGCGCTGTGTCATGCCAAAATTTGTAGTAAGGCCTCTACAGAATCGAAATCCAATTCGGCTAGCATAATTTTTATGCGGAAATATAATAACGGTGTTTTGTTAAAATTAAACACAGGTTAAGTTACACAGGTTAGGTTACATTGCAAATAGAATTTTCAGTTTAAAAGCTCGAAAAGCTATAGATAATTAAGCTTGTTTTAATTAGGAAAATTTTGTACAACTTTGAAAATCAATAATAGAGAATGGTAATTTTCTATTGCTACGAAAGTTACGAAAGCTACGAAATTTTACCGAAAGGCCATTGTTCAATATTTCTTATTGTTCTTCATTTCTCAAATCCCATTGGATTTATTATTATGATGTTTTGTAAGTGTACATTTAATGCAAAAATAAAATAAGCTTCATTAACCAGGTGTAACTTATTTTTAGGCGAACATAAGGGTCATATGAAAACGGGAAGTACTGTTAATTGTATACATAAAATGTTAAAATGATAAAAACCTTCGCGAGAACATTCACGGAAGTAGATTTTTAAGTACGAACTTTAACAAGGAGGTCGAGTTTATTTTAATGAGTTTAAAATAACGAATTGTAAACTATAATTAGGGGGCCTCATAGCCTAGCGGTCTTATTAAGTGGCAGCTAGGTGAGGGGTACTGGGTCCGATTCCCGGTTCGAGGGCAAGTTTTAATTTAATTTAAATTTGTTCTCGGCCTTTGGGAGGGTTGTGCGCTACCGGGCGAGTGCTTAAACCGTACATGGAGGACACGGTCGAATTTCTAAAGACAAGCACGAATTATAAAAAATCCTATACTTGGCGCTGGCTAATGCACAAATCGTGCCAGAGCCATAAAAAAAACTATAATTATTAAATAATATTGTTAGCTACATGTAGCTTCTTTTGCTTTAAATTTTTATTTGAAAGTTTTATTATAAGTGATGAACAACTTTCATAGTTAGTCTCGTGCGTGCCCATTTTAAATGGACAAATCAGACTGTTTTTCTTTAGTTAAAAAGGTTTAGAATTAAGTGCTTACCAACCCAATGACACCTGCAACACTTAAAGGCTTGCAAGTGCGTTGCCGGACTTCAGTCATAAGTCTCTAACTTCATGAAAAGTGTGTATATAACACTAGAAATTATAATAAGATGTTTTTATATTCTCACGTCTCCAAAAAGAAATTTGAGGTCCAGATCTAAAAACGCTGTATCGTTTTTTTAATAGAGCAATGTTATAATTACTGAAAACGCAGGGAGGGAGTTGAAATCCGTAGATGTGGTAACGTACACAGACTATATAAAAAATAGTAGTTATTTTTATGACGCTCAATACACCAGACAGTATTTTTGCTAATATTGTTTTATATAGATGTATAAATAACTGATTGGTAATACAATAACGCTTCCGCGTAGTATTCCCGATAGACCTGGCGCCGAGTACCTTATTATACATTTAAAATCATCCCACTTCTGGGATGTGTTAAACATAATCCACTACGCTAATAGGTTCCACACGATTTTCAGCTTTATAGGCCTTGGACCGGACATCACTTGAAACCCAAGTTTTCGTTGTAAAAAAGAACCGATTTTGTTTGAAAAACTTAAAGGCGTTGGCGAATTTGGAACTAAACAGAAATCGAACGTGCATTGTCGAATAGAATTCGTGTATAAAACTACACTGTTGAAATTGGCTTTTTGACAAGATTTTAAAAACCATTTTAGATTATTTATTAATGACTGTTAATTATATTTATTAATGAATGTTATTGGCTTTAAAAATCCAAATTAAACATTAATAATTTTAAAAACCCGTCAAAACGCTTTTCTAGACACGATGGCGTCGCACCAGTCCGTATTACGTACCGTGCGTAACAAACAACATACAACAAGTGTTTAACGTGTTAATTATGATTCCTTAATTAGGTACACATAATATATTATATACCAATCACAGACAGTCTCCGACGAATTTAATCTCCAAGGTAGTATCAGGACTGGTGAAAATATATTATTTACAAGCGTGCTACGTCATCATGGATTCGACTAGTATATGACCGTTCTGTGTCACGTGATTGATGTATACAGATCAATAGTTTTAATAATTGTTTTTTTTAATTAATGATTTTACTTTTAGCTTATAAAGGCATGTTTTATACAAATCAATATTATTTGGTACTGTCTGAGGTGTCAAAAACTTAAATTGTCGTACACGAATACTTGCTCTTAGTAGGTGAGGAACCTAGGTCGCTGCTCCTACTTTTAACAAAATGTAAATACAGACTCACACATCATCATTGTATAACGCACGCCTTATACTTACAATTCCATTATCTATGGCATGCACTGAAACAATCATAACGCACGAACAGTACACATGCCTAAAGCCGTTATCATAATGCCACCCTGCGTCAGAACAACTACGTTTCCATATGTAAATTATTTACATCACGGCAACGTCACAACACTAAAGCGAAATGGAACTTCATTTTTAATGACGCTCTAGCAGAATCGTATATGGCTTAAAATATCTTGGTATTCTTTTTCTAAATTGTTGCTGGATTTTGAAAAAGAATAATAATATGTGACGTATATAGCTATAGTGAGAAAATGGCGTAATTAAAATAATATTATAAAAATGATAAAAGATTTGTGTATTCTATGTTTGTAACGAATATACCCAAATGGACTGAATTCAAAATCACCTTTTGTATATATTTAAAAGATGTTTGCCTACGGGCATTACAATGAAATCTTAACAAAAATTACAATAAAAAAAATGTGTGCGTGTACTAGGTGTACACACGTAAGAAGTGAAACTTATATAAAACCTTTGTTGTACGCAGAGCCATAATTGGTTTGTTTTAAGTTTAGAGGTCCGAAACTATTTCTTTAAACACAGTAAATTTTGATACACTGCCTAGCATATAATTTACAAATTAATTGCTGCAAATTACGACTAGCAAATTTCAAGTCGAAAATGTAATCCGTTGTCAAACTTCAAAGTCAAAAACATACTATATGTCATATTTTAACGCCGATAAAGAAGTTTGACTTCAAAAAGCAACATGGCGCGTAACGGCAAAATGTGACGCGTAACGCAAAAATGGGACGCGTAACGCAAAAATGTGACGCGTAACGCAAAAATGTTACACTAAATTTTTTCCAACCCCGATAAAGAAGTTTCACTTCAACAAAACCCTTTAACAGGAAAACACAGCTTTATACTATACTATATAACTATTACTAACAGCATTTTTACAAACTATAAATTTAAAAAGCGAGAAATTTAAATGACAACTTGTATTCTACATTACCGCAGAGTATATTAATTTTCAAAATATAAATGTCGCTGGTTAATTATAAATCGGTCTTCGAAGTTATAGACAGAAATCTGACTGCGAACAAAATACCACATGTCAAATTCTCATCGGATTTTGACAGATGTGTAAGATGGCGATGACTTGGCGCCAACTAACACATAATATTGTCTCTGATGCCTACAAAATGGCCGCAATGATTTCTTTGTTTTCAGCACTATTAACTTAAAATTATATAATTAGATGTAAGTTTTCTTTCTTAGTGTTTTATGCACCGCTTTTTATATGTTTTAATTTATGTTTTGTTTGTGTTGCATGTGTGTTTGCATGGTTGTTTTGTTGTCAGTCATTTCGGCGTGGCTGCTGTGGGTGGTGCGTTTCCTCAAATAAAACGTCAGAAAAGCCGATAGAAAACACTGAACTAGGAGACGCTGTGCGTATTACTGCTATAATGCTAGGCTAAACGCATTTTCACTTGCTTTTATTAGTTAATTTAGTTATTAACTTTATGGTTGACGATTATTTTCTTTTACAGTCGCTGCAAGCGAAAATATCCTTTAGTTCCAAAGAAATTGTCGCTTTGAGTTGTTCGTGGTGTAAAGATGCATACCATAATAAAGAGAGTTGTTTTAACCTCCAGAGAATAGGAGAGGAATGTTCGTTAGGTAAGACATACTTATTTAGATGTGAAATATTTTAAATACCATAAGTATTTATGTTTCCGATAGTTTTAAGAATAGTAAATTATACTACATATAATAAGCGTATTGTTAGACATAAGATATGTAAGTTCATAAATACACAGACAATATAAACTGTCTTATAAAATCTAAATTAATAAAACTACTCTTTCGTCTCTTTCTGCGTTTACGCTGATGTAAAAAGAGACAGATGAGAACTTAAGTTAAATCGGTACAAAGATTTATTTTTTAAAATAACGAAAAATAATTGAAGAACCTGAAGCTGCTACGAATTTAACAATCTATAATTCGCTAAGGTAAAATACGTTTAGTCAAATATTTGAATGTAAAATATAAGATTTTTTAATTCGAATATTTGACTTTTTTATTTAAAAGAGTGACGGAGAGTTTATTGCCATTGCCATCTCGTCCGTTCTACTTTTGAGAACTGGCAGTAAATGAATTAAGAAGCATATATTTATTGAACTTCATAAGTGTACATTCAGTTACGTACATGAATATTAATTTTGATTATTATTTGCATGATATGTCATGCTGAAAGCAGACCATTAATTTAGATTCTTTAGATTGTAAACTATATCTTAGAATGAATAATAATATATCCATAAATTGTTTTTATTTATTTATTTACACCTCGTCCCATCCATAAATACAATACAATTAAAATAATTATATGAAAAGAAAGGCAACTGGTGGCCTCGTCGCTATCGTGAGAAAAAAATAAAAATAAATTCTGTTTTAGGTACACAATCTATTATTATAGTGCCGCCGTCATGGATTGTAAAACTCCCCCGTCGGGGAAGCTTCAAATCGTCACTACGGAAATCGCCGAAAAAGAAAAGCGCGGGAAAGAAAAAGGGAAAAGACTCTAAGGTTGAACAAAGACCATTCGTAATAAAGCCAATACCGACGTCAAATGTGAAACCTGTTCTCGTATTTATTAACCCCAAAAGTGGCGGCAATCAAGGTGTCAAGTTATTACAGAAATTCCAATGGCTTTTAAACCCGCGCCAAGTTTTTGATCTCACTCAAGGAGGACCGGGGCCTGGGTAAATATAAATACATTTTCACATTTATATCTAAAGATAAGAGTTTTGGGCTCCAATTACATTGTGGTCATATCTTTACGGGCATTTATACTAAGTACTTTTAGAAATTCTCGAAACCCATACGAAATCAAAAGTTTCGTAGGAAATCAAACTCTAATACTTTATGCCGTGGTAAGCCAGTATTAGACAGTATTTTCTGTCTAGTAGGTGATTAGACTTTTGCTTCAATGTCTCGTCGGGAATCAAACCTCTGATTACCATCTAAGGCGATGTAACAATTGGAGATACAAATCAATACAAAAACTATACAATGCATATTAGTGTCATTGTATGTAAATGTTCGTAATACCCAGACAAATAATGAGCTTATTATTAATATACAATTATTCAAGCATGTTGCACAAGTTTTACATATTATATCGCGAAGTTTGAAGCTATGACGTATTGTATTTCCATGGATCACAATTGTTTGATGAGGAACCTACAATAATTTGAAAGAAAAATTCTTCTTGAGCACAGATATATAATAACAATTACTAATTATTACACACAGCCCAACAGCTTTAAGTTGCTGCCACCAGCAACACTGATTCTCAATGCTCCCATACTTGGAATGACAGCTACACACACTGGACAAAACAAAAATGTTAACAATTAAAAGAAAAAATAAGATTATAAAAAAAATCACAAACAAATAAAACATGAGACACTAAATTCCCAACCCAGCCGACTAAAATGCCAAAAGATTTTACATTTTATCTTAAAAGACGTAATGCTTTGGATGTCGCGGATTGGAGGTGGCAGATTGCTCCAACATTTAATTGCCGTGTATGTGTTTGAAATACACATACACAAGTTTCTATAAAAAGAAATAACGTAAATGTAAGAATAATAAGCCTAAATATTTTTTTCAAAAACAAGGAAGAACTATGGTTTCCATATTAATCTTAAACTACAAGTTGAATTAGGCTATGAACTGTACCCGCTTCCTTTTATAATCTGCATCAAATGGATATCTGTATCCTTAATATAGTTCCACAGACTACTCCAGATTCTAAAGTGCATTACGCTTCTCCGAATTAGCAATTAATACGTTAAGTGGCTGGAGCGATACAGCCTTCCTGGCTGCAATTAATATATTAGCTGTACCATGACTTCGTACAGAAATCCTGAGGAAAATTGCATATTAGAAGACTTTATCAAGAGAATGTCTCACTTTAAGCTGTCTTTTAAGATAAAAATTTCATGGCATTAAGGTGCACGAATTACGTGACATTATTTTTTTTTAAACCAAGACTGGAGAAGACATCTTTAGTCTTTATGAGTGTATATTTCCTCCACTATATATAAAATAATTTAATATTTAACCTTCGTGTGTCGTCAACTATCTTCGACTGTAGAATTCTTAGAAAAAAAGTAGTAGAAACTCTTTGCAGTAAAACAATGTATCACGTTTTGAAGTATTCAAATACTACTTTAAAATAACTAACACATTTAAAGATTAAAACCCGCCAAAATAGTTTTGGAATGCAAATTTTATTTTTATTTCAGACTAGAGATGTTTCGTAAAGTGCCAAATCTGCGTGTGCTGGCATGTGGCGGAGACGGCACTGTGGGGTGGGTTCTAAGTGTTTTGGACAGGATTGGTGCACGGCCAGCTGTGGGTGTCCTTCCACTTGGGACTGGAAATGATCTCGCAAGAGCTTTGGGCTGGGGCGGGGTAAGATTTTGAATAATACTATTATTTACGCAATTACCATATAGTTGGCTATAGGTACCTGCTATAAAGACCTATCTTATATTTTTTTAACTGAAAAATAAATTATACCATTTGAGATAAGTTTGCACAGATTTAAATCTCTGAGTTTCCAATTTTATCCTATATTTAATCCAGCCAAAACATGAACCCGCTTTAAGCCATTTGAAATTCCGTCGAAATAGTACATGATTTTAACATTAAAATGAAAATAATAATCTCTGCAAGAAATGTCAAAATTGGCGCCCAAATGCGACACTTAATTTTTAAATTTCGAACGCCTTTCTATAATTCGCCACAGATTTTATAATTTCTCATATGCCAGAGAGCGATCACAAAAATCTATCTAAACCTATCATACTAATTTCCAAGAAATTGGTAACAATGCTTTAAAATTATTTAAATTTTAGTTATAACCTCATTATTATTTTACGGAAAAATATTGTTGAGTCATACATATTAATATTGTTTGACCTCTAAAGGGTTTCAAGGCAGGTGACTATATTTCAATGGAAATAACTTACACAGTTATAAATTTATTGCTGAAAAAGATTTTATAATCAATTTAATTAAATCAAAATGTGTGTATTATATTATTTAAACAAACGCTTATGGTTAAGAAATATTAACAACTAAACCGAAGTCTTACATATTATTTTTTTTAATTCCACATTCATCAATATTTATCTGTAATACTGTCCAAGTTTATAGATTAAAAAAATCGAGATTTAGCGGAATTGTCAAAATTATTTTCGTCCGTAAACAATCCTCGGAATGAGCTGTATAACGATTATTTTACTTTGCTAATGAAACAATTGAACACTTATTTGTTTAATGTTTCGTCAATTCAGCATAATGTTATTTAATTTATTGAATCATACAGAATATGCAATATTTAATCGTGTTTATTTCGTTACATCGAATCATCAAAATTGGCATTGTTGATCAATTATTTTGTTAAATTTCGAATAATTTAACAGTGTTCTGTGACCTGTTCGGTTTTCTATGGGCTGTGTTACATTTAGTCTTTGGCCATTACGTCTTGAGATTCAAAGTTGAGTCATAGGGCGAACTATGACATGATATGTCAATAGACTTATTGTATTTGACATGTATTTATAAGTCATGACTCTGAATCTGTGGGTTAAGCTTAGGTTTCCTAGAATAGCGGTGCCGTTATCTAACGGCCGTAATGTAGCGTAGGGTGACGTCACCCATACGTTGTCTATAAATAACATCGTAGTAGGTTTCCTAGAGAACGTTGAGTGTCACCGTAACGGCAAATAGCGGTGCCGTCATTTGCATGACGGCCGTCATAGCGGTGATAAACAATAGTTCAACGTTTTTCGCGTGTAGCGGTGCCCATATTTAATTAATACAATGAGTGGAAACGTGACCTGGACTAGCGAAAATGATTGTTTTTTGCATTATGTTAAAAAGTACAGACGGCCGTTATTAACAACCGTAAAATGACGGCGGTTAGTTGACGGCACCGCTTTTCTGGGAATCCTAAGCTTTAGAGGTTTAAATTTTATTTGTAAGTACTATAAATAATAAAAAATCCAATCTTATTCGTATGAAAAAGATAGGGAAAAAGGCCTATAATACCTATAATATATAACTTAACCGGAAATATGTACTTGTGTAATTTTTTTTATAACTAACAATTTTAAATCTACCAAAAATACCTAATGGTCTTCCATAGCGAGTTAAACTTGTCCATACAAATCTAATTTAGAGCGTGTGCCGGTTCTATTCCGTATCTTTCCGTTCAAAATACTTGTATTCAAAAAGAAACGTCCCGAGCTACTTACGTTTTGAAAGTTAAGGTTCAAAGTATTTGCATAATTAGGTTTACCCTCACGTCTTATTTAATAAAAGGAACTGAAGTCTCAAAGGCTGGGTCAGGGATATTTTGCTATGTATATTTTATGACTTTGAGCGCGAATTAAACACTCGCTCGTACGGTGAAGGAAATGGTCAGAAATCCGGCATGTCGTAGATCCAAAAATTTACAGCGCACAGAAGGATACTATTAATTCACATAGCGTAGTGCGCGGCAAAAAACTTACAAATTAAATGATTTTATAAGTTCAAATGTACAATCCTTAAGACATGTACATGACAATGTCTGTGAGGTCCGCTAGTGAATGCCATGCGCATGGCTGATCATATATAACAAAGACAAACGTTTATTGAAATATTTATACGTTTCGCATTTAATTTTCAATTTTTATGGGCCGTACATTACGTAAGCACTATGGGGGGGGTGATCTTTAATTTTCATTTTTGCTGATTACGTTAACAGTAATTATTTACTTTTTTACACATATTACCCACACATTATCTATTCTTGAAAACGAAATGCATTTTCGACGATTCCCACAAAAAGATAATACGTTTATGTAGTATTATTATTTTTGAGAGCTTTGCTTACTTTTGCTGACAAGAGGAGGGGGGATAAACTGCTGTGAATCTGCTTACGTAACACTTGAACGGCCCCTATAAATAAATAAGATCACAAAACAGATACAGAAATCTCGGACTAAGGACTCCCACACAAAACTGCGATGCGATGCGATGCGAATTCCCATCAGAGTTCATAATCGTAATGAATGGATGTACCCAGAATCTTCTTTTTCTTTTATATCTATTTAACAATAACAGCAGTGCAATAATCTTTTAGCGATCCATCTTACGCTTCTTAAAAACACGTTCAGTACGGCTGACTTCGAAGGAATAGTCGCCCTACCAAACGGTTTGACGCACTAAATCGTATCGCAAAAATTCGCATCGCAAATTCCTGCGATGCGAATTCGCATCGCATCCCATCGCAGTTTTGTGTGGTGGTCCTTAGACGCGGTTTTAGCGCTGTTGTTATATATTTCGTATTTTTTCAAGGGCTATGAGGATGAACCAATATCAAAAATCCTCGCACACATCGGCGAAAGCGACACAGTACTACTGGACCGCTGGCAGTTAACAGTAGAGCCTAACACAGCAGCGACAGGCGAAGACACCAGTAACGCGAAAGCGGATTTACCGCTGAATGTCGTTAACAATTATTTCTCTTTTGGTGTCGATGCCCACATCGCTCTCGAGTTTCACGAGGCCAGAGGTAAGTGTGAAAATGTTCAAGTGTAAGCCTTACCTACACACTTACCGTGTAACTTTCAATAGCAATACCGACGTTTTTGTAAATTTAAATTCCAATTCATTTATTCATTTAGTTAACAGAATGTACACTTATGAACGTCAATAGAAAAATACATATGCTTCTAATTTTACATTTACTGCCAGTTCTCAAATCAAGGGCGTAGAACGGACGAGAAGAACTGGCAATAAACTCTCCACCGCTCTTTTTAATCGCCAAGTTTTTTGTTTTATAAAATGTTTTTAAGGGGCTGCAACCATTACACCATGTTCCATCTTTATTGATTAAAAGATTTGTCCTCTATCAGCAGTAGGCATGTGAAATAGAAGCACGCACTTACATTCTCGTGGCGACAACACGCAAATACATAGTCGAAATAACTAACATGATGAAGTAAGATGATGTAATTCTCTTAATAGTAGGTAGCGCTGATGCTAACCTTGGGATACAAAAATTGATTGAAATCGGGATTGCTGTATTTCGCTTGAAAGTTACGCAGGGCATTTTTGATCCAATATACTTGAATATGCGAATTAACTCTTTATTTTGAGAATTAACATCTGAACGTCAAACTAACATATACAGCTAAGAAATCGGTTAAATTTTTAAAATCTGTAAGCCAAGTAACACGATTTTTTTTGTTTTCAAAGCAGTTTAGTAGAAAACATATTGAAATAATATTAGTGGACAGTCAGTGATCTTCAGTTGGTTGCAAATGGACTTATTGGTTCTTTTTGCCGTCATGGTATTTTGCAACATTCTCCTATAACACCACCTCTCTTATCTTTTTTCAGTTCGCTACACGAATTGAACAGAGTCTGATCCATACAAAAATATAGAAAATTTCAAAGTTCTAACGAGTGTACTCTTAATATTCGTAATATTCGACACGTTTCTGTTTTTCCATGTTCTGAATATGGAGGAGTCCAGCCCGATCCACTAACATGACTATTGTCTTTATTAAAAAGAAATACGGAAACAAATACAAATATTACTTTGAGTACTAAATTTAATAAATTATCCTATCAGAAAAGTATCTTGAAAAGTCTGATTAAATGTATATTAAATTACAAACAGCGGTACTTATATATTGTAAAATTAATATTAACTTTCAGAGGCGCATCCTGAAAAGTTTAACTCACGCATCCGGAATAAGCTCTTTTACGGAACGGCTGGCGGGAAAGATCTCATGCAAAGGAAATGGAAAGATTTAGCCGATTTCGTTACTTTGGAATGCGACGGGAAGGATCTTACGCCGGTTTTGAGGGAGCATAAAGTGCATGCGATCGTATTCTTAAACATTCCAAGGTATTTAAATTGTACCTATTTATTTTGCTTTGGTAGATAGTACCGGTGACTTGTGCTGGTGCTTTCCTCGCTCAACGAATAAGTATCGCAATACAGCGAGGAAATGCTGCCGGCGTTAAAGGTACACTGCCACTGGGACCAACTTTTTAATTTGTTTTAATTTTCTCTTTATTAATTTTTAATTATTATTATTACTATGGGAAAATTGTAGATACTAAATAAATTGTAATTTATAGGAAATATACATCGTTTAACATTTACCGATTAAACTTGTAATGGTTGAACAATGGCATTATGTCTTTTGACCTCATCATACATATAAAAAACGCATTTTCTTTGACAACGCTTTTTTTTTCATCTTTACCAGATTCTTAAAAACATTTTCATTTGCATTTTCAAACGCTCAAACCGAAACAATACTTCTTTAGTCAACAGTAGTATATAAATGAGCGCATTAAATATTAATTTAGTTATATATATATCAATTGGAAGAGGCTAGGCTAGGGAATCTTAGTGTGGGGGGAGGGGCAGACCACCTTTTCATTTTATTGTACATCTCTTTATTATTTGCAATAATGTTCTTCTTAATATACCATAATTCACATACGGTTTGTGTTCACGAAGTTTGTAAACAAATCTACTTACAAATTACAATTTAGCACACTTGGAAGTCTATATACAGTCAAACCTGGATAAGCGAGAGTTCAAGGGAGCACAATCTCACGCAGCAATAACAAGTCTCAGCAAGTACGAATGTGTAATATGATAAAATTATGTGCATAATGTGCACAACATATATTATGTATATATGTATACATACAATTTTATTTTATTTAGAATTTATTTACACTTTTAAAAAATCCGTCAATTTCGTTTGGGTTCGGTTGTCTCACTTACGGAGGTCCATGAGTAAAAACGACTCTCTCTTACAGAGGTTTCTGTTTCTCGCTAATAGAGGTTTTGGTAGCTTAAAATCACGGGTCTCGGCTATTACTCTCATTTATAGAGTTTTCTCACTTATTCAGTTCCAACTTACCCAGGTTCGACTGTATATCATACTCAAATATTCCTCCTTTTTGGAAGTCAGTCAGAAACAGAAGTACAGTACAAAAATAAACCAGTAACCATTCATAATATTAGGGTAAAACTCCGCTGGCGCTTAAGTGAATCTTGGTCTTGATAATGGAACGCCACAATGTTATCTGCATGATATTGTTTCCATAATATATCGTTTCATAAAATAATTCAGGAAGGAAGGTACTCATAATACCTTCTAACCATTGCACTGTAAACTAAATTATTTTCAAAGTAAGCTTTTACTCAAGTCAATAATAAACTGTAATCGTAAAGGCTGGGTAAGGTATATTTTGCTACAGATAACAAAACAACACTTTTTGTCAAATTGTATTAGGTCCTTACATATGAAATTGGCGTATTTCGTACTCGCCACTTTAATCACGATGTTCTCCTCTTTGGTAAGGAATTCCAAATTCAAATTTGTACAGCTATTTACTCATGTATTTGTGCTTCGATGACCGTCATTCATTTGTTTTTTTCTGTTTGCGTCACTCATTTTACAAAATGGAAAACTTAAAGTATCGCATTATTTACGAGTACGAGTTCCGCCGTGGCACTAGTGCTGCGGAAACGACTCGAAGGGTGAATGATGTGTATGGCGGTCATGTTGCAAAATAAAACACAGTTCGTTTTTGGTTCCAACGTTTTCGTTCTGGAAATTTCGACCTGCAGAACAAGCCCCGTGGACGGCCTGAGACCCAAGTTGATAATGAAGTATTGAAGGCTATTGTGGAAGCGGATCCATCGCAAACCATTTTTTTCGAAATTTGGACAACTTGTTGCAAGGGAAAAAATTTAACTCTGATGGGGCAGTCCAAATCGCCTTCACAGATTTTATTGATTCCCGTCCGACTGGTTTTTTTAGTTAAGGAATCAATGAACTACCTATGAGATGGCAAAAGTGCATAGAAAACAATGGTTCATACTTTGATTAATTAAATATATTATATTTAAAAATATTCGACTTTTTGTTCCTCCCATACAAAACACCAATTTCATATGTAAGGACCTAATATTTAATATTACAGTCCTCTCTCTACCTTGCGACATTTTCTTAGATATGTTCAATGTATGTTTGTATGGCGCGTTTAGCGAGACCCTAAACCCACCAACATTAAGTAAATAAAGTCCTTTTTTAAGAAAAGATATAGACTGATGTTTAATTTCTCGGCCACATCTGCCTGATCGCGTTGATAGGCTTTTAGGGGTTCTATTTAAGAAAAAAAATATTCCGAAACATTTTATTAATACATTTTTGAAAAGCAGGTCTCTGACAGATGTATTGATTCTTGTACTGTGTGGTGTAAACATGTAAATATATTTTGACAGTTACGGAGGTGGTACGCATCCGTGGAACAAATCCCAGGGAGCATCAGAACCCTCGACTGAAGATGGATTAATAGAAGTTGTTGGATTGACTACGTATCAATTGGTGAGCGATCTCTCTCTCTCTCTCTCTCTCTCTCTCTAAAATTATTATATGTATAATCTATAGTAGTAATGTATGTTTCCATGTGTAAACCAATTTTAAAAATTATTTCATCATATACTTTGTGTGTATATTTATTTCTAAAATATTTAGCTTGAAATATTCATTTCATCAAAATAAGTAAGCGCTAGGTTTCAATTGCGAGCGATTTAATAGTTGCGCGTTATTTTGTCTAGATTTCTAGACAAAAATCTAACTAATTTTAGTTAATATGACGACTACAGCCAACAAGTGTAAAAATGATACATAATATCAATAACAAATACATATTAAACAAGCATTTAAGTTGATTTTTTATTATTCATTCAGTACCTTATTACTTCAAATACAAGTTCAAAAGAAGCATTATTTTTCAATTATAAATATCACTAAGTAAAGCAGGCATTTTGCAGCTGCTTTTTAATCAGTAGCACTGTAGGAAAGTCTATTTACAACTTCAAAGATTTGTACTACTTTTAGATTTGCGTTTGCAGTTTTAGTTTGGTTTGCGACGAGCAGTGTTGGCCTAGTGGCTTCAGCGTGCGACTCTCACCCCTGAGGTCGCTGGTTTGATCACCTGCTGGGCACCAATGGACTTTCTTTCAATGTGCGCATTTAACATTCGTTCGAGTGGTGAAGGAAAACATCGTGAGGAAACCGACATGTCTTAGACCCAAAAAGTCGATGTGTGTCAGGCACAGAAGGCTGATCACCAATTTGCCTATTTGATTGAAAAAAAAATGATCATGAAACATGAAAGAGGCGCAGACCTAAAGAGGTTGTAGTGCCATTGCTTTTTTTATATTTAAATTTGCGTCCAACATTGCAAACATCTGTGTTAATCCTTAATCTAGCAACACAAACAAAAACGTGTCTTCAGATAAAACTAATTACACGTGGAAGCCGTATATTAATTGACGGGAAGGCCATATACAATTGTTTCAGCCGTTGTTGCAAGCTGGCGGCCACGGTACATGCATCACTCAGTGCAAGACGGCAAAAATAGTTACCACCAAAGTGATACCCATGCAAGTTGACGGCGAGGCTTGCAGACTTGCACCATCTGTGATCACATTGTCGATACTGAACCAGGCGATTATGCTCGCCAAGAAGAAACCGGGACGGGTTCTGGCACCGTAAGTATTAAGAGTGATTCAGAAACGAGACTTAGAACTAGGACTTCCGTAGAAATAAATATTTTGCGTGGCTGTTTTAGCTAAGTTTTGATTTTGAATCTTAAACTAAGTTATAAAAATATGTTAGAGTCTGGCTAATGAAAGATAATTAAATTATTGGAAAACTTTCGGTTGGCAACACAGAATGTCGTTGAATTTCTTAGGTTGGTATGATTTATTGTCGTGATACTTCATGCAATTACTCCTTTTTATTTCTATTATATATTTTTCCGAATAGTTAACAAGTATAATAGCCTAAACTTTGTTTTATTGATTTTTTGGATTCTGATTTTGATTATTCCGAATAAAGTTGTGTTTTATAATAAATATAGTTTTAGTTTTCCATGCAATGCTAGTCATTTTAAGTATCAATAGTAAAAGACTAAATACGTTACTATCAATGTAAAAAATAATAAAATTAAATCAAGTATCAAGTAAGTTTAATCCACAAAATAAAGCAAACTTTTAAGGATACCATACTATTTTTTTTTAATTTGCCGCGCTTTTTCGTTATCTTCTTTCATTAGCCAGACTCTAGATATTATATTTACGGTTTTGATGCAGGTTTCTTTACCTTCTTATTAAACTAAACCAGAGATGGTGTATGGGAAATAATTTAAGGTGTGGGTTCAGATGCTGATTTTTGGCTATTCGAATCTATATATTATTAAACCAATATTGAAAAGCCATCCCGGGTTTTGGCACGGTAAAAATTCCCGGAGTAAATTCTAACATCGTGAGATTTGTTATTTACAAAATACTGTATTAAGGAAGAACCGTTGTTTTTATCAATTCTTTACCTGAATATTAAATCATATTTTGAACCATATCATATACTCTTATAGAAGAAAATGCAACCAGCACTATTTCTTATTAAAATTGTGTTCTATATTATTAGTATATAAGTTGGATCTCTTGTTCTTTTTTAAATAACACAACATTTGCGTAGAATTCTTATTAAAAATTAATCTGTGGCCGGGCAATCTGAAAATATTTTGTAATGGAGATTATAGCGATAATGTATCACAATATGTTGTAACAGCCTTGCGATTCTGTAACTCACTTTTCGAACTCACACAGCGGTTTTCGCAGCGGCGGTCGCGCTCAAATCAGCCTGTTGAATTACTTTTAAATACTTTTTTAACCGACCCTAACTCCACACACAGCTAAATCAATTGTTTTCTCTTCCCGGTAATCTTATCATCAATTAAATAGATATCTAATAAAGCTGCATTCTGGGAATCCCAGGTTTCAATTGTGTTTACATTTGTAACATAATCTTCAGTTAAAGGTTGTCTCTGATTCCTGAAATAAACTGAACTATTAAAAAGTTTTTTTTTAAATTATGTCTGAATTAAAACATTGAACATCAAATGTCGGAAACGCGCTAAAATATTTCGACTGAGGATATATTATAACACTTCTCGACCTTAGCCACTGAGGAATATTGTCTAAATTCTGAGCTAAAGGCACAGGCACAGGTGCCACACAGAAGCATGAAAAGATTTTAAGTTAAAATGTGAACTCATATTTTATTGTACCTTATTGGAGATTAAAAATCTATACCATTTTTAGAAATTATTAATTTATGTCCTTATATTAAAATATCTAGGCACAAGTAAAAAGTTCCCAAACGTAACATTGTACAGGACCGTTGCAAGTGGAGATCCGCCTACCCTTGTCTCTGCCTTGGGGAAAAAGGCGTGAATATATAAATAAAATAACTAAACGCAAAGGAGGCTAGCTAAAATGAGTCACTAACGGCTACATAGACAGATATTCTCGGATACCTTTTGCAGCTAGATTGATCAAGAGAAAATCAAGCCCTTTTCAGGGAGTGTTTCCGCCACTATTTTGTGGAACGAACTGGAGATGTTTTCTAAGTAATAAGCAAGGGTTGCATAATATTTATTTGCTACAATCTACAAAAAATACCCAGGGTATTCAAAAATTTTGTGGTCGCTGTGCAAAATAATAAAATAATCTGGTGAATTTTTAACTGGATTCCTCGAAAATCAATTCAAACTAGTTTTTTTACCATAACTAGGGCCTCCCACAGATTACTTAAATTAACTTGTGCTTGAGCTACCCCAGTTTATGGAGTTATTAGGTTGGTAACTTTGATGAAAAATTCTATTTTATAGACAATGAACTCGTAAAGTCAAGATTAAAAGTCTCTCTAGAGTGGAAACAATTTAATTAAATTGCGATCGTTGCGTAAGTTACTACGGTTTTATAATTCACTATAATTATAAAAATTATAATTTTTTTACCTACCATACCTACACCCTAATTAATAACTAAAATACTCAAATCTCTTTTCGTCACGTCGTAAATGCATTATGACAAAGAGACAGAAGCTCAAGTGCACATGACATGACTAACGCCCGAACCCAATATTCAATCCACAATCTCAGATTGAAGACAATCTGAGATCAGACCGTGACAGTCAATTGATCTCCTATCTGCATCCCAATAACCAAACCCTACGAAGACAATCCATTTTTGGCGACGGATATAGATATGCTCTTTGTCGTTCCATTTTACCGTGTTTTCACTCATATTTGATAATCAATGTAAACCAAATAAAGTAAATAAAACCCTACAAATAACATTAAAATATACATGTGTATGTTTAAATAATAACAAACAGTTTTTTTTAATTATTTAAAAAACTGGTGTAAGTTAAAATCTGTTAAAATAATTAACTGTTGTAATTAACTAACTGTAACATGAAATCGAGCTTTCGTCAACGGTTACTTTAATACAAAGGTCTATCCACAGACACCGATACGACCTCCCATGGATAGCTTGTATCGACAGATGGCTATTGCAATCCGTGGATTGATTATTGCCACACTTGTTAAAACATTTGGATTAAGATTACTATCTCAGATGGTGGATTATGGATTGAGATAGGTTATTTCGGGCGTAAATAAGAGACATTGCATTTTAATAGCAATAATATTTTGTTTACAGCCTTACGACGCTTGATAAGCTCAACTTTACCGTGAATATAATTACAATGGCCGACTATGAACGTCACCACTACGACAAGGAACTTCTGGCTAAAGCAGGTATATTTTATAGAATTTTTAATAATTGCATACGAAAATATAATTAATCACTAATATAATCCTTGTAGGATTATAAATTATATAGAGTTACTAGCTGACCCGGCAAACGTTGTTTTGCCATTTATGTTATTTCTAGGAAATATTTTTTAGTTCAATAAAAATAGATATAATAAAAAATAGGGGTTGATCGTAGAGGGGTGAAAATTAAGGGCTGCATGTATTTTTGTATGGTGTATCATAAAAAAATAAAAACAATTTTTTTGTCGAAAAAATAAAAACTAAACTTTTGGGGTGGACACCCCTAATCACTTAAGGGTTTGATAGACTGATAGTAGCCGATTCTCAGACTTTCTGAATATGCATAAAAAAATTGATAAGAATCGGTTAAGCCATTTCGGAAGAGTATGGGAACGAACATTGTGACACGAAAATTTTATATATATAGAGATATAAAATAATAATATATGAAGATATAGTTATCCAGATAGCCTAGGAAGTTTATATATACAGTCAACAGGGTTTTTTCTACCTTCGTTTCCTTACATTTAGTACATATACAGATAAGCTATAAGGGAGAAAACTGGCGGACTTATAGCTAACAAGCGATCTTTTCCAGCCAACCCTTGTAAGTAAAACGAAATACTAAGAGAAAAGTCCAAGGAGTTAAATTAACAAAAATAAAATTACAAGCAATCAATGCAGAATTATACAAAAAAAGTGTATGCTAATCTAAAGAGTTTATTGATGGACCTTAGGATTTTGCAACAAGCATTGATACGGTTTATAAAAAAAATCACAAACCAAGTATTGCGACGTAGCCGCACTAACAAGGTTATTATTGGCAATGTCGTCTATACCCAAATGCTTTATAAACAAAAGTATATAAAAAAAATCATTTGTAAAATTAGTAAGTAGATGTTTAAGGTTTTTGTTTATACACAATAATAATTATTGCAAAAGTTTTATTACATAAAAACCTTCTGTATAATATTAACGTTTATTAAACGACAATTTATATCTAACCAAAAAAACACACACGCGTAACTTTCGTGTCTACAGAGTTATGATCGAATTGTGTGACAATTTAATTTTATAATCAAAGTTTTTACTGAGAAAAGTTTTGACATCTAATTTCTGATCTCAATACTTAAGTACACTCTGTAACTTACCCCTAGACCCCAAGAGTGAAAACGTGAATCCAGAGCATAAAAAAACATGCCTGTTAAAGACATTATCAAGAAAACTTGTTTGAACATCGCAGCACTAGACCCAATTATGTAATAATAGATCTATATTTTCTTTAAACAAATCACCCTCTTTAAACAAAGAACTTAAAAATTCCAAAGAACACCGTCTGAATTGCTTTTCAAAGTTCACAACTTATCTAGATGACTGTGTATTTTATCTTCGCAAGAAAAACAAATAAGTTTTCTAATAAAGGTTTGTATTCAAGGCAACTAAACAGTAACTTTACCATCAGAATACATTAAATACCTCATACAAACTCACGAAACATGTATATTTATTACGTGAGTAAAGATTGAGGCATTTATTTCCTGAGATTACACTTGAGGTGAGAATAATTGCCTGCGACCCTAAATCTTGTCAGTTGCTAGGTGGATATTTAATAAATTACGGCGTATTTCTACCTCGGTATGTGGGTGTTTAATAAATTATTAGTCATATTTGCAGACGGTTATCACGATGCGTAAGATTTAATAATACGTACGACACACACGTATAATTAAATCTTACGTTTTCTTCTTCTTCATGTTTTGTTAATGATTAAATTACAAATTTCCTTAAAATATTTACGGCAACACCTGTCTCTGTACTTGGCGATTAAAAAGAGTGGCGGAAAGTTTCTTGCCAGTTCTTCTTACCCGCTCTACGCCCTTGACTTGCGAACTGGTAGTAAATGTAAATTTACGATTAATTTAACTTGACGATTCAAAAGTGTACTTGGTTACCTACTTGAATAAAGATATTTTGAGTTTGAGTTTGTGGCCTCTATTGTGAATGACATATTTTCAATATGGAATTTGGCAAAGGATAAAATCATCCTCTTCCATCCTTTGCCAAATGTTTCCATCAGCTACCAAACCAACCAAAAACTGCCAAAAAATCAATTGTAATCAGCACGTCGAAAATTTTTTTACGGATATCACGTAATCCAACATATTTACTTTGAAAAATAATAATATGTTTTGTTTTCAAGGACCTCTAAAATGCCTCCTTTGACTGGCTCCATCTCCCTCTATCAATTTTCTCCCAATCTTTCCCACCAACTTCTTAAACTCGTCAGCCCACCGTGCACATAATCTATATTAATATATATAGTAGCTGGAGTATGCTGTTTTCTGTATAATGTTCTTTTATTTATTAATTTTAGTTAAGAAATATTTCCTCTTTATAGAACATAAAACGTCCGAAGTCTATCTCATCTTTATATTCGTTCGCTTTTTAATTTTGATTAAGAATAAAATATAACGGTTCTTATGAATGAAGTAATTATTTTCTAAGCTTACAAATTGTCTTATTACTTTTGAGAATCCGTAACGGGATTACAGTAGCTGATAACTATTTACTTGGTATTTTATAAAAGGTACAGAAATATAGGGTTTTTTGTACGTGTTTTGAAATACACCAAGAGGGTTTTGCTTGATTAATAGTTGGTATACCTATTTATTAATTAACACTTTGTGCCTTTTATATTTGATATATATACATTCAGATAACATAAATTAAGGAGACAACGGCGATACAAGCGATATATTTCAGGCAACCCTAGTAAGGCAAAAGGAAATAAATAAATGATGTCCAAAAATTTAATAACACAAAAATAAAATAAAAAAATAAAATCACAATTAAACCGATGGAAAGGACATAGTTACGAGGTGTTTATATAGATATACAAAATATATTAAGTAAACAGTCTTATACTCTCTCACACACAAAAACGCACATAATTGACACATACGTACACACAGACACATATTTATTAATATTATACTTTACTAGGGTAGGCCGTTCATGGCAATTTGTTAATTGATTTTGTAATTTTATATAATATAATAAAAGCTGTTGGCTACTTAATAAAATAAATACAATCTAAGGACAAGACTTATATGGGCATGGATTACTCATGTATACGAAATATTTAAAATAATATTTCTATCATATCGTATACTTAATGACATAAACCCGAACCCTTGTTAAAACCAATTCTTTGAAGAACTTTTGTTTTAGCGGAAAGGATCGGTACCTTAGAAGTGAACCCAGCAACGGATCTAGAGCAGACACGAAATCTCGTTCATAACCTGATCAAAGAATCTCAAGCCTACTCGAATATCTTGGATTGGTGGTTTGTGGATTGTAAGTTTATTTTCCCTCAATTTTAATATATCGATTTATTACTTAGTAAGTCGAGGTCGAACACTCGCTCGTTCAAGGAAAACATCGTGAGGAAACCGGCATGCCTTAGACCTATAAAGTCGAGTGTAGCAGGCATAGGCCGATAATCTACTTGCCTTTTCAGAAAAGGATAACGAAACAGATACAGAAGTCTGAGCTCGCTGAAGTGCTGTTTTAAATTATAATTTTATGATCATAATGAGAGTAGAAGATAGTAATAAATCCCGGCTAAATCGAACGATAGATATTATTTTGACAATTTTTAATGTACTCATTCAACGATATAGTGAAAGAATTTTGAAAACGGTCCGTTTTGAGTATGATGATAGTCTATATAGTATTAGTATAGATTATAATCACAAAATAACCAATCACCTACATATTACGAAAACACGGAAAATTTTAAGGCAAAATTCCAAAATAATTTCATGTATAAATTCTATCTGTGTGATTTTATTTAATAAACGAGTCGTATGTTTACGGAAAAGTCAAAGTGAATTAAATCGTTAAGGAAATTATTTTTACATGTAAAAGCTTAATTAGCTGTTTCTGTTTGTAACAAAGTATAATTAGTTGCTGGTCATTTGATGGAAATATATATATATACGGTTTGATAATAAACATTTTTAGTGACAGTAGATGGAAAAGGGTGGTTTTACTGCTAAGACATTTTATCACACAAGTAAAGAGCGTACCAATTCTTAAAAGGCCGGCAACACACTTGCGAGCCCTTTGGCAATGTGTCTATGGACAGCGTTATCACTTAACATCAGGTTCCATCATTCGTCATCCTGCCCGTTTGCCCCCTACATATAAAAAAGACAACTCAAATGGAAAATGGCTCAAATATTAATACTCATATATATATAGAAATTTAAAAACAATATACAAAATGCTATTAAAGAGAGAGACGGGTTCTCGTACGAGAATACCACTTACAATAACGATTCCAATATTTTGATATGAAATTGGATAGTCTATCAGTGAATCACGTGGTTCAGAAACCAAACATTCAAGTCGCTGCTTGCTATTTTAAGTTACATAGTACCATTTCCGTCGCGTCCGATGGTAGTAGTAAATTTGATTTTTTTTATGACAGAATCATAATTTTTTGTAAACTCCTAAATGTAATATAGTTTATATTAACGTCTTTAATTACGATAAGATGCGTTGATATTTTGGTATTCAACCAAGACCCGTGTGTGTCTTTGACGTGTATTCGAGGGAGATAAGGAAGCATTGTATTCAAATACATACGTACATAATCAAGCCAAAGGCTTCAACTTGTATATACTATTATATATTTAATCCCATTTTGGACAAGTCTGCAAAGATATGTACTTTATATTAGCTACTCTGTAGTGTAAAGGTAACGTGAGAAACGACTTAGATTATTTTATACATTAGACTTCTTCGATACAAAGAGTAAGAGAGTTTATGAAATATTAGTATTTTATATTTTATGCAAAATAATTTATTGCATTCTCAAATGACGAATTGTGAATTAAAATGCCACGTGTTGTTATTATTTGTATTCATTTTCGACACTCTAAATATTTTAATGACTATTAAATTCATTAAATTCCTAACATATCTTCCTTTTCTCTAGATTAGATTTCTCTTTTCATCTTTAGATTTGTATAAATATAAACAAAAGTTAAAAATAAATTGTGCGTGTACTAGGTGTACACACGTAAGAAGTGAAACTTCTTTATGATCTTATTTTTCTAAAAATGATCTACTATATGCAACTTTACAGAAATTCGTTAAATCAGATAAAGTTTAACAAAAGGCTTTTATTATCATAGACATGAATACAAATATTTCATTTTACCTTATTACTACGAAGATTATTATAGCATTTCATTAATTGTAATAGAATTATTACTATCATTGAAAAACGTGACGATTTGCTACAAAATTTCTCCCATACGTCGATAAAGAAGTTTCATTCCAACGCCGATAAAGAAGTTTGACTTCAAAAAGTAACATGGCGCGTAACAGAAAAATGTGACGCGTAACGAAAAAATGTTACACTAAATTTTTTTCCAACCTCGATAAAGAAGTTTCACTTCAATTAGTTTGCCAAAGAAGTTTCACTTTTGACATGTGTACTTTGTACGCACGCACTTTTTAAAGCATATTTTCATCAGTATTTGATTGTCTTTACTTTACCATATTTGAGAGCCAAAATAATATAAAATAAATAAAAATTGACGATGTGTTTAGGAACATAAGGCTGGTTTCCCTATTAATGATGAATAAAATATTTGTTATGACCAAGATCCATAAAGGAAGGTAGGTTGTACTTGGTAACTATTCAGAAGGTGATTTTAAATATTCCCCAAACGATTAAAAGAAACAAATCTTTGACGCAGATGTTATGTATGGAGCCTAGCACTTCTTTTAAATTTAAACTGTTTTAGTTGGTGCATGCTCAAAATCATTATATGTTATATTTTATATAGTGTTCTTGATATACAGGATTCATAAAAATATATTTCAGCGGTAACCGCGGAACGATTTTTCCGTATCGACAAAGCTCAAGAGAATCTCCACTATCCAATGGACATCGGTCACGACAACCTCTACATACTGGACGCGGCGCCACTCACACCGGACACCGACACAACTGCTAACCCAGAAACCACAGCGAGTGCTTCACTGGACCGCACTAGGCCTTCGGTGTCACTGGAGACCACTACTGGGCTGTCGGTATCGCTCGACATATCGCAGAGTGTTGATACACCGAGTGCTGCTGTTTCGTTAGACGTACCTGATTCCCACGGAAGGTAAGGACTTGTCATGCGCCAGAATTTGCTATGCTAGTTGCCTATATAACAGTGAATATATGAATAGGAGTTTTAGTTCTAATTGTTGTTTAGGGTTTTAATATTTGAGCTTCAATTATAAACGGGCGTAGTCCAGTGCAATTTATTCTTAGAATATATTTCGTAAGATATTTTTGTATTATAATGAAATGTAGGGTTAAATTAATTTATGCATGCAGCTGAATACACAATCGAAACTTTTGTTATAATCATTAATTATTCTTTTGATATTTTCTCTAGAGTCTAACTTGTTAAATAAACGTAACAGTGACATAATTTCTGTTCATTTATACACAAGATATAAATAAATTGAATGAAATCCTCTAATATAATTAGCATACATTGCACTGGACTAAGTAATTGGCTTGTACAGCCCAGCGCGGTCGTCAGATGACGTAACGACGCCACAGACGCCCCCCTCAGCGGCCACTACAGCCACGCCCACCTCCAAGTCATCTCTATCGCCAAAGCTCACAGTGCCCAAGCCAAAGACATCGCAAGACTCCAACTCGCCACCTCTATGCGGCAGTCCCACGGCCAAAGACAACGAACCGTCACCGGAGTCTATAGCTCGGTTCAAAACGTGAGTCTATGAAACAAAAGAAAGTTTTTTATAATACGGTGCCTTTAATATGTAACTAAATAAATATCACTGTATTTAAATAAATCAATGTCGTATATAAACACGCTTTATGCTGGCTTCATAACCGGAGTCCCCACAAATGAAAGTTAATAAACAGTTCCTGGAAATGTTTTTTTAACTAAACTCCTTTACATAAAAACGGACACGGAAGGAAATTTACGTTCTTAGGTCGATTTCAATTAATGAAATGAAATTTAATTGTCTGATGTACTTATGATCGTGTAAATTGATACGCGTTAATTCTGGAGATTTTAAAATAATTTTTCGATGAGTTGTTTAAAATTGATTACGACTAAACATTAAGAAGTGGTAGCAATAAACAAGAAGATGTTTTACTTTTTTTAATTATTGGCCAAAATCACAGATTGAATCCCTTTGGGCATGCTTTTAACGATGTATTTTAAAACCATATATTGGGCGTTAAAAAGATTCCTTTCAAACTGACAATTTCGTGCGTTAATTAATATTGCTAAATATATTTTTATACATTACAATTCATGTTATTTACGGATCACAAAGGTGATATCTTTGACGGTATTTCGTTATACAAAAAATTCACATAAGGGTACTCAATAATTTACGAGACATGTACCCATGTCAAAATGCTTTATGTTCTCCGTTCGGTTCAGAAGATTTTATCGCCTATAAAGTAAATAATATAGATTAAATTTATATAGTTAGAAAATATTAGATATTCTTTCAAAATAGATTAAAAAGGGAAAAGTTATGTACCAGTACCAAAAGTGTAACGTCCGTATATTAAATTAATCGTATATGTAGTCCTTACATACAGAACATTGACTCAAACTTTAATTTAATATGAGAACGTTAAATGATACATTTAAATTAATAATGTATTGAATTAAACAATTGCCTAATAAAAGTCCAATGTGAGGACTGAAAAAACATGCTCCGTTATGAGGAAAATAGAACTTTAAACAAAATATTATAATTGTTTAATTTCTAGGAACGTCTGACACTTATATAAATCCAATTATTTAATCGAAATTATCTCTTAAGACTAACAGTCAACACCAAATCAAGTCTCACGAATTTATCTCTTATATAAAAAGCATTGTGATTTGAAACCATTCATAGCTTTTAATGAATTTTGTGACGAAAAGGATCCTTATCTTCTAAAGCATAGAATTCATTAAAAATATGTTCATTCTAACATTTATACTTCTTTCTTATGCACATTCTATGGATGCACTATTTACTTTTAATTTGCACTTTCTCTCATCGCATGCAGCATACATCAAAAATTGTTTGGATTTGAACAAGAAGCGTTTGGCTGTGGGTGAGATGATGTCATATCACTGTTATATAGAAAAGAATTGTACCAAGATGGGTTTGATTGTCATAGTCAAGTCACAATCGTCTTGAGCACTGTCAATTGTCATTGTCAAACGTCAAATTTGGCTAAATGGTTTGACAGCTCGAGCAACTTCATTTAATTTTAGTTGAGTTTAATATAATGTATATTATATTATATGTCCAAAAGATTTGGAATTTTTTACTTTTCAAATTAAAATATATATATTTAAAAAATATTTTCACACAGAGTTTTTTCACACAAATTAATTTGTTTTGTTCTGTCTCAATAAATTGTATTGGTACATTTCTTCTGTAGTGTAGTGTCTATTAGTCCCTTATTAGATCTAAGAACTCCATTACCACAGACTAAACATCAATATTGTTTCAGAAATCTATTGGAAAAAACATCGGACTCACTACTCAAAGCCGCGAAAGTCGGGGACTTAAAAATGGTACGTATAATAACGTTTTATTTTATCTTCACTTTCCTTTGTACTTATCTTATTGTATTTTTAGATAAAGGAGCTGCATGCAGCGGGCTATTCTCTACTGTCTATTGATGCGAGCGGTCAGACTGCGTTGCACATCGCCGCTCGATATGGCAATAAAGAGATTGTTAAATATTTGATAGCGTGCGCTCCAACAGCTATATTGAATATGAGTGATAACGAGAAAGGGCAAACGGCGCTTCATAAGGCGGCAGCGTATAAGCGACGAGCGATATGTTGTATGTTGGTGGCCGGAGGAGCGTCTCTCACCCGACAGGACCACGCGTGTTTAACGCCGAGACAAATCGCTCTACGCGCTGATGATCACGACCTGGCAGCGTATTTAGAAAGTAAGACAATTCTTCTTTTTTATTTACCATATAGTTTCCAATTTTAAGGAGAATGCAGAGCCATTGGCTTAAAACAAAACGGGTAAATACTGGATAATTCGGATTTATTTAAAAAAAGACGCTTTTGATGTCAAAAGCGAAGTTGGTAAAGTAAGTCAAGGTAAGTTAAGCCTTAAAAAACTTTAAGAAATCAACGACTCCATGCATTTGTTAGTTATGTCGACATTAGTTTTTTTCATAGGATCGAATGCCTGCAGGCTTGCCACTTCATTTCTATTCCGATTTCACTCTAGATTTTTCGTACTATGTAATTTCAACATTGAAAATGAGGGACAAAAGTATTTTTTATTTATTATATTATATATTATTATTCTATTCCAGGTCAAGAGCATTTCCAGTTAGTGTCAGAAGATTTGGAGACAACAGTGTGAAATTTATTATTATCGCTTTCATTATTGAATCTATTATTGATAAGGTTATTTATTTTATATAGACATAAGATAATTTCATATAATAATAAAAGACTTTACTGAGCTTATAAATATAATAATATATCTTGTTCACACATATCCTTTAGATCTTTCTACATACACCGAATTAACAGTGTTAAGGCAATTTCACATATACGCCGTATTCATATAAACCGTGGAATAGATAAATATGGAGAGAATAATGATAGAAGCAAGTAAAAATCGTGTTTTTATCAATAATCATACTCCATAAATATATGCAAATATGTTATGAATAAGTCATAAAGGAAGTCATCGGTGACACTATTTCTAGAACAGCTAAGGATGAGGCTCGAATATTTTTATGTATATGTTTCATGATCACAACGAATAGCAACACTATCGAAAAGTGTTAGTTACAATTCTTAAAACCCGGCTTGAAGGACCAAAAACGTTCTTCACAAACCACAGTCCTATATCTAGAATAACGCCTCTATAGTAGATAACATTTAATTGGTTAAAATGTGAACTCGTCTTAAAACACATAATAAATTCATATATTATTATGACCAAATATAAATTGTAAATAATTATTAGAATAAAATTCGAAATATCCTCTACACCTCTATATCGACACTATTTATTGTATTTGCATCTAATTTAGCAATATCATAATGTAAATAAGGTTTAATTAGAACGTGATATATAATCACTTATGTATTTTAATATTTAAAAAACTGTATGGAAAGTTTCTTAGTGAATTAAATGTAAAGACCAATAACGGGAACAGTACAATTTGACGCAATGTGTTGTGTATGGGCTCTATGGTTGTTTTTGACATCTCACTGAACATTTTTTAACGTCATTGACAATGCATTTGATCAAAGACTTGCGATATGCTAGCGCCAATCGAAGTTGCATTTTAAATGTCATATGAGCGAATGTAAATTCTAGTAAGCCTGTGGCGGCTGTCATAAGCGATTGTTCGGTAACGTATTTGTCAAAGTTTTTTTAAATTCGCGCCAAAACATAGAGCCTGTGTTCGACGTACTAATTATGAGAATGAACTGTATTTAATAAGTATTCACTTCACTATTAGTATTTTACATAGAAGCAATTAGAATTAAGTGATAGGTATGGAGGCTTTATAATGAGTTTGAGTATTAATATCAAATATTTGTATTAAAAATTCACTTAATTAAGTATTAAAAACACCTAACGTAAAGACGTTACTTTGGAAGAGGTAAATAAAACTTTTGTCTTTGCACCTCTAATATTAATACTGTCAAAGTTATGGTAAAGCTGATTTCTCATTCATTAGGTGTTACTATATTTGGTTGTGTTAATGTATTTGAAAATTTCGTTATGCAAAGCATTTGTTGCTAGTTAATTTGTTTCGAGTTTATTTTAGTAATAGCAAAGCTATAGCAATAATTTCAAATAGTAGTGTAATAGTACGATCTCACCTCCTCGCTTAGTTAATAATACATTATAGTTGATATATATGTTCTGAATAGCGGTAAATTATCACTACTACAGACGTATTATTTCCTTTATTATATTTCGTAGCAATAAATTTCTTAAGTCAAGTGTTACTGAATATTAGTTACAACCTTCGAGACTCGAATAATACTTGGTATTTCTTGGACCCGCAGGTCCGGGGTTCTATTAGTGTTAACTAATTATGCCTATAAGAATAATATAAGGCCTACTTTGCTTATGAATAATGATCAGTAAATTCGACATATGTCTGCCCCTTGAGTCATGAATACTGCACTTCACACGTATTATTCTCTGTATATTCTGTGACTAGAGTTCTCTTTTTTATTTTTAAAAATGGAATCATTCTTTACTACGCTTCTATATTTGCTTTTTATATGCACCAATGCTGGCTGGCTAGTTAAAAAAAATATTAAGAGGTGACGGAACACATTCTGTGATTCCAATTCATATTTAGAACAGGAATGCCTTTACTGTTTTTCCTATATTCTATAACTATTTGTAGTCTATGATATTCTAAATGTTGGTTTTATTTGGCTGTAATAAAATACCTCTACGTAGACGTAGATGTCATTAGTGTAATCGAATTTATTCGTACTTATTTATCGCTATAATGCGAAATGAAAGACAAAGCTGTGAGAATTTTGATCATTGTAAAAAGTAGATTCATTTATCATAGTCTCGATGTGTGGTTTTCTTGTATATATGTATTTTTTTTTGACTCATCTTTAATCATATACACTTCAACGATATAGCTTTAAGGTTTCACGAGTGTTCTGCTAGATTCTCTCATAAACTTAGAAGAACCTTTACTTCCCTGAGGGTAAGATTTAAAGTTGAGACTTAGAGAAATTCACTCTTGTATGTCAAAAACTTTTGAAAAGGAATGCACTTACTCTCAACTCTGAACCCTTAGAATACTCTAGGTGCTTTATTACGTGTCATAGATTATATTTCAAATAGATCATTTCGTGTACATATTGTATCTATATTCTACCTTCAAGAGGCCTTCATTCATAAATATATAAATGAACTATTTCTATTAATCGAATTAGGGTATATAGTTTCACGACCAATTTCGAAGTTAAATGGTTAATTAGCATAATCACTTAATCTTTAATGGTCACACTAAAATTCTGTTTCAACTACGTAAAACAATATTTTATTAATCGAGCACTGACTCAAGAACTTTTTGAATAGTCTCACAGTTTATTTAATCTTAGCCATAGGATAATCTATGAAATAAATGATCTGTTAATGCAATAATAGTTAAGAATTTGATTCATATTTTTGCCATCTCTTAATTAAAATATCCACTTTGAATAATTAAATAATCATTACATAAATGAAATACTAATGAACATGAAAGATTAGAAACAATGCACCGCTGAGCGGATATAATAATTCGATTTTTAAAATAAACAATTTTTGCAAGTAATGCCGATCACGAATGAGGTTGTATTTTAATTATAAAAAAAACCGCTCGGCTTTATAACGCACCTATAAACATCAAGGGGAATGTTTTATGATAATAAATCCTCTTTTGTAGATATTTAACATTTTGACAAAAGAATATTTCCAATTATGTATTCCAAATTTGAAATTGTAAAAATGGAACAAGAGTACTTATCTAAAATTTTGTAATATTCGCACTCATTTCATTGTGTAATTTTACGATATTTTTGCACTGAGTGAAGTCGGTATTTTAATGGAAATTATAACAACTATTCTTAAAAATAAATATTATCAACAATAAGTGTTCTTTTATTTATTCCATAATTGTATCATAGAGATATAAGTAAAAGAGACAATATCCAGGGGTTGAATGATATTGAAGCGAATACGCCAAACACCTTCGTCGCAAACAAAGCCATAAAAATGCCTCTTTTAGTCACGAGATATCAGCTAAGTACGATTTATGAGTATCTCACTTAAACAAGAGTCTAGCGCTTAGAAAAAACCTTGCTATAGTTATCATTACAATACTTTCAGTTTTGCACAGATGAAAATTTCCATACAATTTGTATATTTCAGTTTAAACTACTTCTTATCGTTACTTTTGCATAGTATTAACTTTCCATGTACCGTGATGATTCAATTCCCTTTAAATAATAACCGACCTGTTTAAAAAAAAGGTGCGTGTACTTATGTACGCGCGTAAGAAGTTATACATTTTTTTTAAATATTAAATAATTAATTGTTAACGTAAACAATTTAATAATATTTAGTATATTATTCAATTAGTAATTAATATTAATAATAATAATTATTTTATTATATTATTCATTCAATTTAATAACTAGGTATGTTTCATAACCTTTTAACTAAGTAACAATAGGTCGTTGTGAAAAAGCATTGCTAAATTTCTTTGAAAAAATAATTAAAACTCCTTTATTTGTTTAAAGGTAAATATCATTATGGTAATTCTTGACATAGCTGCTAACTTCACGCATATTCTTTTTTTTTTACTTGTAGATTGTCTTATTCCCATCTCGCTCGCGCACGCTATAATCACACTGACAACTTTGTGTCTCAGGTGCGCGCGCATCGTAAAATTTCACTCTCATCAGTTTTTCATAACGCGCCTAAAAAAGTAAAACTTCAAAAAAATTGTTTCGATTTGAATAGTGACATAATGTGTCTGCTGTGTGCTGCGTGTACATATTGGCTCTAAGCATAATCAATGAAGATTTTTATTCGTTTTAATTCATTATTAATGAACTTTCGATAGTAAGCCATTAAGGTTTAATAAATCTGTTCCTCGTAAAGTTTTATGGGACATGGTACGTGTCGGACATATTGGCACGATATTATGGAGTTGTAAAATAAGTCATCATTTTTATATACTTACTACTAGCTGGCCCGGCGAACATCGTACCGCCTAACAGTCGATTCTTTATTTTTTTTAAATACTTATTCTGCTATTCGGGACACCGGTCTAGCTAGTAAGATAAAAAAAGAAAGTTGCTAAGACAACAAATACATTACGTCAAAAAAAAAATTTACTTTCCCAGAACCCCTCCACTAACACTTGTACTTTATGATATGGTATTAAAGTTCAAATTGACTTTTAAGTATTATTACGAATATTTTGTATGGGTATATAGAAAAGTGTTGTTTTTAGACTTTTTCACTAATTTTTTTTTTATTTTTCCCTCCGTAAGAACCATCCTCGTACTTCAAGGAATATTATAAAAAAAGAATCAGACAAATCGGTCAAGCCGTTTTCATGTTATGTCGTGACAACGGAAAACGGGTTTCATTTTTATATATATAGACTCCTAAAATTTTGTCGCACGTACTTTATGATTGTTCCCTAACTGAAAAATGTAGGTAGGCGTGTACATGAATTTGAAACTACCCACGAAATGAAAACTTTTTTCGAAATTAACGATTTGCAAATCGGAGAAACGGTCGAAATAAAACGTTTATATTACTAACAGCAAGCAACTGCCTCTCTCTCTAGTATGTTTCATGAGAAA